GAGCCATCGAGGCTTTAAACCCATGGACTCAGCTGCGACCAAAGTGTGGAGGCAAGGGACCAAGGCCACCTTCCTGCAGGGGAGGGTGCCATGAGGCCAGGTGTGGGTTGAAGGGTGACTCCCACGCGAGAGGTGAGATGGCCCTCACCCAGCCTGGCAGGGGCACCCCTTGGATGGCCAGTCCCAGATGAGGCAGAGGGCCCCAGGTGCAGTGTTGGGTTTAGTGTGGGGCAGGCTGAGCCCAGTGCCCGGGATCTGCCTGCCGAAAGGCTGGTGTGGGGAGGGCTGGGCTGCAGCCGAGTCTGGATCCGGTCTCACCCCCATCTCCCTCTGCAGGTGGAGCCCCCAGAGCTGCCGGCTGACCTGCAGCACTGGATCGCCTACAATGAGACCAGCAGCCAGCTGCTCCGGGCCGAGAGCGGGCTCCACGATGTTCTCAAGGACCAGTGACCGCCCCACCCTGCCATCCCTGCCCACCAGCCTTGACCTGGAGGCCGTTGCCCACCCTTCCCCACCTGCCAGGGGGCAGAGAGTGCAGCATGGGCCGGCTGGACTGGACCCTCTCTGAGCTGGAGTGGCCTTGCGACCCACCCAGCCCCCTCACATGCTCAAGGCTCTCCCTTGCCTCCATTATTGATGCCCCTCCATACCCCATCTCATGCTAAGCACAGGGTGGGGGTGATGCAGGCACTCAGGCCAGCTTTGCCCTCTGGGTGGTGATGATGGGCAAACCGGGAGGCCCAGGGCCCTTGGCATTCAGGCAGCAGGGGCTTGGGGTGGGCCGCCTTGCAGGTGAAGCCAGGCTTCCATGCTCTGAGTGGGCGGTGCCTGGCGCAGGGAGCGGGCTGGGGTTGCCTTGAGCGCCAGAGCTTGTAGTCTGAGGCTGCCATTGAGGGTGAGGTCGGAGCAGTCCTGGAGGTAGGGCCGGGGGCGGGGCAGGGAGCTGGCCAAGGCCTGGGTCCTGATATGGGCCCCCAGGAGCTGGAAGGATCAGAGCAGCATTTCAAGGCAGATCCCTCTGCTGCATGTGGGGGCGGGGCAGAGTGTGGCCAGGCAGACGGGCCCAGGGCACTCGAGAGAGAGGCCTGGTCATCAGGTCCTGGGGTGGCGGCGGGGCCTTGGAGAGTACGGTGGGCCCAGCGCAGGTCATCTGTGCAGCGGCTCCGTTGGAGGTGGTGAGCCATCATAGCTGGGGGTGGGGGGTCCTAGTCAGAACCTGCTGCTGAGGAAGGATTGGGGAGAGGCATGGGGTCCTGCCTGGGTGCCCTCACCTGTCTGCACCCCTTGGTGCCCATAGGACTGTGCCGTGTGACCCTGGCTGGGGTCCTACCCTCTCTGGGACTATAGCACCTCTGCCCTCCCTCTGGGGCTGTCCTTGCCTGACCTGACTTCCTGCCCGGCTGTTGATCTGTTTGTTTCTTCCTGCTCTGAGAGCTGCTTCCCGCAGTGGGCTGGGGCTGCATGCGGTCTTCCTGGCTTTGCTTGAGCAGCTCTGTCCTGGCGTCACCAGCCTGCTGAGGTGCCGGCCAGGGCCTGCCCGCTCTCTTGCCTTGCAGCTGGGGCGAGGGCGGCTTGGGGAGAAGCAGGAACTGGTCCAGGGCCTTGGAGAGCACGAGGGCAGTGCAGGTGGGCCTCGTCCCTGGCTGGGGACAGAGTCCGGGCTCTGGGGGTGGGTTCTGCCCTGGGTGGGGTGCCCGCTCACCTGTGCCCCTGCAGCTGCCCCCGCCGGCCCCCGGGGCAGCCCAGAGGGGCCCAGGATTGCTCCCTGGCCGCCTCGTCCACCCCCCGCCAGCGGGGCCAGGAGCACGGCCACGGCCCTCTTCCTCCCCTGCCCCCACGGCATGGTCCGCCTCAGCCACTGGGAACACTGCTGTGTTTCTGTTTTATTTAAGGAAAGCCCAAGAGTAAAGGCCTTCAACGTGAGCGTACTGGGGAGTCTTCATTTCCGAAACCCTTTCTGACGTGGGGTGGGGGGCGCTGTCAGGATTGTTGGGTGAACTTGGGGTCCACGCTGGCAAGACAGGACCTGTGCCCGTTCTGCAGATCACGAGGTTGAGGCCAGAAAGGAGCTGCCCCAAACCCTTTACAGACTGGTTGTCCACAGAGGCTTGGGAGTTGCCACCCCAGACTCTGGGTCTGGGTCCCCAGGCTCCTGGGCTCACTAGGCAGGGTGAGGGCTGGCAGGTGGGGCAGAGGTCAGTGGGCTTTAGTGGGGAGGGGGAGGGTGAGCAGAGGGACTGTTGTGCAGGCACCCCCAGGAGGACAGGGATGGGACCCCTGGGACGGAAGGCAGGTGTGTGGTGGGGGGGACGGTGTCCGTGCTCTGCCTGCCTGCCCCAGCAGGGGCCAGCCTTGGGGCCTGTGAGAGAAGGGCCATTGGAAGCGGCTGGGTGTGCAGCAGGCATTCAGCGATGGGGCGATGGGGCTGGAGAAGCTCGGAGCAGGGCAGTGCTGCGCTGCCAGGGTGGTTGGCTGGAGCCTCAGCCCTTTTCACCTTCCATTTTCCCTGAGGCCTGCCAGGTGGGGCCTCATGCCTGTCCTGAGCCAATGGCCACGTGAAGGTCACACGGGCCCCTTCCCAGAAGGTCTGTTTCTCTTCACGTGACACACATATTTGCACAGGGCCTGTAGGGAGGGGCGGCAGGGTTTGGGGGATCGTGGCAGGTGACTGAGCTGACCATTGCCAGACAGGACAAGTTCCTGGCAGGACCACAGACAGGAAACGGTGCACTGAGCCACTGGCCCCAAGTGGCTGGCTGGGGAGATGGGATGGAGGTGCCTGGGCATGGTCTGCCCCGCTTGGCATGGTTGTTGGCGGCGGGGTGGGGGAGGGGCTTCAGGATGGTCACAGGCATCTAGGCTGCGTGTGGCTGCCCCAGGGGCATGGGGACTTCTGTGTCCACTTCAGGAGATGCAGCCTAGCCGGGGGGTGGGGAGGGGAGGCTCTGGGTCCGCACTTGGAGGACAGGCCTGTAGCAGAGGGGAGAAGGGTACCTGTTGACTAGGGGGCCTGGCTTCAGGACTGGGCTTTGGGAGTGTATCTGCAGCCTAGTTCTTACAAGACCCACTGATCCCATGCAGTGGCCGCTTTCGTTGAGAAGTTCAAGTGACTGTCAGCCCGCATGTGGGTTGGGCCCTGGTTCTCCCTTGACCACGCTCCCCCTCCCACAGGCCAGTGGCTACAGGACCATCCACCCCAGGCCCCCGCCCCTGTGGTCTGTGCAGCGTCTGGCTCCCCAGGGGACCCCCACCCCCACCCCACCACCTGCCTGCAGGACGTCCTGGGAGGCGGAGCTCCTGGGGGAGGTGGTGGCATTCCTCGCCATCTGTCCCGATGGAAGAGGTACTCATGATGAAAGAGGGGCCCTTCTTTCTCTGGCCAGTGAGCAGGGGGCAGAGGGCCCAGCGTCTCCCTGCCGCAGCTCTTTGTGACCCACCCGCTTCCACGTGACGGGAGGTGGGGGTGTGCGATCAGCACCCACTTGCCTCAAGGCCCCACATGCCCGCAGACGGTGTGGGCAGCTGTCGTCCACCCTGCAGTCACCTGCTAGCCACTCTTGTGGCCCCCAGCCGTGACCTCCCCAGCTCCCACAGGGGCGCAGACCAGCGGGCGTGCCCAGGGCCAGGGCAGGGGCTTGGCGGGCCCCCGTGCGCTTGGGCCGCCCTGCATGGCTCCCGCCAGAGGTGTAAGCAGGGAGGACCCATGACCCTGGTGCTGGGCTAGGAGTCCGAGGGGCGCGCGCCCTCTGCTGGCCACGTGGAGGCCCCGCAGGTGCCTGCCCCCACCCACCCTCCTTCCCTGGGAGCGGGCAGCTGCCACGCCTCTCCCAGCTGCACACCTGCTCTGCACCCCTGAAGCGCCCAGAGGTGTCCCCCTCTTGCTCTGCTGGTGAGACTGAAAGGGGCAGTGACGTGGCTTCACTGTGCCCCAAGGTGAGTGGTGGCCCTGGCCTCCAAGTGCAGGGTAACATCAGGGGTGGTCTGGAAGTCTGGCTGTGATGCAGAATGTGGAGAATCTCCAGCCCAGACGCCCGACGGCAAGGTGGACACTGACAGGCGGGGGTCAGTCCAGCTCCTGCTTCCCACTCCCTGCAGTGAGGCTTGAGCAAGGGGACGCCAAGGACAGCTGGCAGGGTTTCCTGGGGCCTAAGGATCCTGGGCTCCAGGGGGTGGTCAGCCCCCAAGGACACTCTGCAGCCCATCCTTGAGCAGCCAGGCCAGACCACGGGGGGCCCCTAAAGCCTCTGAACCAGCCCTGGGGGTCTGGGGCAAGCGGGCACAGCCTTTGTGTTTCATACACACACTCCCCTCTAATCTCAGCTGTCCCCGGGGCCCAGGGTGTAGTAGGCCTGTTGTCACAGGAGGCAACTGGGGCCTGGGGAGTTGTGTGGGTGACTGCAGACCCGGGTACACCCCACCCCACACCCTTGGGAAGACCCAGTCTGGGGGGGCAGGCCATCCCCACATGCCCTCTTCCCCAGGTTCCCCCCTTGCTGCCACGGCAGACCTGGGCCCCGCAGACCCACCCACCCTCGGAGAACACTGAATTCCAGCCCTTTTCCTTCCCATCCTGGGGAGGGGCATGGGGTGGGGGGGTGCCTCCAGAGTCCCAGGAAATATTCTGGAAGCAGAGTCAGATTTTCCTTGGGCTGAGCAACAAGTCCTGGTCAGACTTCAGGAAGGCATTTGTCCCCCAAAGCCTCTGCCTGCCTGTCTGTGAAGCAGCTCAGAATGGCCGTGGTGGGCACGAGGCTCAAGTGCCGGAACATGCCTGGTCCCACCCAGCTCCCCGAAGGCGGCCCTGTGGGCTCTCAGTGTCCAGAAGGAAAAGATGGTCTCCAGCCTCGGTTTATTTATGTACCCCACAGGTTTAGGGGAGGAGGGCAGAGCGCACCCCGAAACAATTCTCTCCCCCTGGGTCCCACAAGTAGCCTGGTGCCTGCTGAGCTCGGACCGTGGGCGCGTGCCAACAGAGCGGCCAGCCGGCAGCGTCGGGCACCTCAGGGAAGGAGGTGGCTGAGGACCACGGCCCCCAGGGGGGCCAGGGCTCCAGCACTGAGCCTGGCAGCGCCCACGGAGTTGCAGAGGTCGTGGAAGCAGCAGAAGATGGGGTGGGCAGCCCCGATGCTGTCTGGGTCGGTGGCCTCGCAGGAGCTGGCACAGGTGCTGGTCACCACGGGGCTCTCGTTGAAGGGGAACTCTGGAGGGAGGGCAGGCATCAGAGCGCGGTCACCCCGCCCCGGCCTTCCCTGGCCGTCCCAGTCTGCGCCCTTCACCTTGCTCTTCCTGCCTCCTCCCAGGACACCCTAACTGACCACCGGCCTGGAAGTCACCCGGGCCCCTGCTGGGGTCTGAAGTGTGGCCCTGAGGTGGGAGCTGGGAGCCCCGGGCCCCCACCGCACCTGCCTCCACCGTCACCAGCGTGGTCTTGCAGGCTATTTCGTCCGGCTTGCAGTAGGTAATGTTCTTGCACAGAGGAAGGGCTGTGGGCTGCTCACAGGTGATGCAACTTAAGGCCTCACCTGGGGAGGGACAGGGGCAGACCCTCACCACCCGGCCCTGAGACCCACCCTGGGGGTCGCAGGAAGGGCAGGAGAAGAGGCCAGGGGTGGTCCCTGGGGGAGCACCTTGCCCCGCTGAGCCCCTTCAGGCCCAGCCTCCCGGCTTAGACGTGATCCCTGCAGCCCCCACCCGAGCCTCAGTCTCCCTGCCTGGAGAGCAGGCTGTGACCCCTGCCCCGGGTGGAGCCGGGCTCAGGACCAGAGGGTCAGGGCGACCAGTCCAGGCGGTGACCCCCTCCCCGCCGCGGAGGTGGGCTGGGCAAGGACCGGCGCCAGGCCCCCTGCCAGCCAGCCGCACCGCCTCTCTCACCCAGGTGCACGGCCGAGGCCGCGGTGAGCAGCAGGGTCAGCAGGGCCCCGGGGACGGCCATCCCTTAGTCGAGCTGAGCGGCCGCGGTCTCCACCAGCCGCCTGTGGGGATTTATACCCAGCCCTTGGGTCCCCACTCTGGGTGGTGGCAGGAGCCGCCTGTGAGTCAGCCGGATGGAAGCTGGAGAGGCAGCTGGTGGAGGACGCGTGGGTGCTGGCCCTCGGGGCGGGAGCCCCGGGTGCTGGAGCTGGCCGGCCCCTCCCCTGGCCGCTGCACGGGAGCCACGGGCCGCCTGTCAGGCTCTGGCCTGGACTCAGGTCTCTCCCAAACTCACCCAGGCCAGGGCCCATCCCTCCACCCCAGACGTCCTCTGCTGGGTGTGTACCTGATCCTGCCCCTGCAGCCCCGAGCTAAGGTCCAGAGTGGGGGTGTCAGGCCAGGTGCAGAGGAGGCGAGTGCCTGGTGAGGCGCAGGGGTTGGCCTGGAGCCAGCAGGCCCCTTTCTGCTGCCGAGTGTGGTGCCCCGGGCCCACATCCCCGATGGTGCCCTCATCACTGCCAGCCACTTCCTCACAAATGGCCTTTAGACCAAGCCTGAGCTTCCTGTTCCCGGCCCCAGACAGCAGGGCTCCCGGACGCGCCGTGAGGCTCACCTCCCACTGTGCGCTGCCCAGCATCCACGCCTGCGCTCTGCCTCTCACTGACCTTGCCACCTGTCTGCCCCGTGCCAAAGGCCTGGGTCCCGTCTGCTGTCCCAGCCTCGGATTTCTCTGTCTTCGGAGGGCACAGTGGGTGGGTGAGTGGGTGTGTGGATGGACGGGCGGATGGATGATGGATGGTTGAAAAAACATACGACTGGGTGATGCTTGAGCAAGTGGATGGGTGGAGGGAGGAATGAACGGATGGACGATGCATGGGTGGTGGGCGAGCTGGTTGGAAAGGGAGGGGTCATGTTCTGGCATTTGAGGCTCGTGCCCACTTATTCTTTCACCACTTATGAAAGAATAAGTGATGGGGAGGTGGTGAATGAAGGGGTATGTGCTGGGTGGAGGGTGGGAGTGGGCCCTGCCGCAGGGCAGGGAGTTACACCCCAGTCTCAGGGCAGGGTGATGTGCTGGGAGGAGCTTGGAGATGGCACTCAGAAGGCCTAGGTTTGAGTCTTGGCTGTGCTGCCGTGTCCGTCTGTGACCTTGGGGTGACTGCCCTTCCTCCAGACTGCATTTCTGTTTCTGTGATGGAACTAGGCACCCAGGGCAGTTGGAGGGCAGAAGTGACCTGGCCTTGTGGATGGGGAGGTGGTTGCAAGGAAACAAAGGGAATTGTTTGCAAAGGGAGGACCGTGGTTAATGCAGGTTAAATGCAGGTTAAACGAGGGAGTCAAACGCAGGCGTGGGCCCAGAACTCAGCGGGGCGGCCCTTCCCCGGGGCCTGGGCCATGGCCGAGGACTGCGTGAGTGGAGCCAGGCAGGGTCTGGTCTGGAGCCTCAGAGACGGGGTGGGCCCTGGCAGCCCCAGTCTTCCGTGTGACCAGGTCTGCTTATGAGCCACCCTGACCCCCTTCTTTCAGGTGTAAAGCAGGCAGAGGACCACAGCCCAGGGGGCAGCTGTGAAAACTAGCCGGCGAAGGTCGCGGTGGTGATGAATGTGGAGCAGCGGCCGGGTGGGCTGGCCTGGGCTCCAGGCTGGGAGACCCAGTGGGCCATCGGGGCAGACCCCATGGAAAGCAGTCTTGAAGGAGCCAGAAGACCTTGGAGGTGGAGATGGCAGGGAGGGTGCTGGGGGGTGGTAGTGACCAGGGTGGACACACAGCCTTCCCGTGTTTGCCTGTAGGGCTATGTGTGCGTGTGTTTACAGTCATGCCTGGGTGCATAGTTGCTTTACTTGTGTCTGACTCCTTGCGGCCCTATTGACTGTAACCTTCCAGGCTCCTCCTCCATGGGATTCTCCAGGCAAGAATACTGCAGTGGGTTGCTATGCCCTGACTCAGGGATCGATCGAGGGTCTCCTGCATTGCAGGCGGATTCTTTACCAGCCGAGCTACCAGGGGAGCCCTTACTGAGTCTCAATACCGGCTTTAAGGCTTAAGTGGCCCACGGCCGTCCTTGTTTTTGTGAGAGACGTGGCAAGAGCCAGGTGGGAGTCCTGGTGGATAGCTGAGCGCAGGGTTTCTCCTGGACAAGGTCAGCGGCCCCAGGGGTGGCGTCTGAGACTGTGTGACTGTTCCTGGCCTCCTGGCCCCTGCTGTTCTGGGGCTTTGTCCAAGGTGCTCTCCCAGCAGCAGATCTGCAAGGGTCCTGCCCCTGGGAGCTGGCTGGGACTTTGAGTCTTGCCCGCAGGAAGAGGAGGTGTGGCGTTCTCAGGGTCCGAGGGACAGGCAGCCCCCGAGGCTGCCCGCCTCCTGTCCCGCAGGCATGGGCGCCCTCAGTGGGACCCGACTGTGCGTCCAGCAGCTGCCTCCCTCCATCCAGGGGCAGGAAACCCTTAAAGGGATGACGGACAGTGGGGGCTCTCCGGACTCAGGGCTGTGGGCTGGGGGGGCACCTAGTGGTGCAGAAGGAAGGCCATGCAGCCCCATTTCAACGTGCCTAGAGACTCAGTGCTGTGTGCACCCAGGGCCTCAGAGCAGCTTCCGGAGCGGGGCGGGGCAGAGACCAGGGGTGCGTCCCAGGGTACCCAGGGTCCATCTCCTGCCCTCCACCCTCCTCCAGTGCCCAAGCCTGTGCTCATAGGCCCGGGGGGAGGGGCGGGGGCAGGAAGCGGGTATGAGGGGCCTGTGGGATGGGGGCTTCCTGGGGAGGTGGCCTGGAGGCTTTGGGGCTGGCCCAAGGCCCGGGGAGACAGAGCTCCCTTCTGCACTGGAGCTTGGGCTGCCTGGGTGCCAGGGGTGGGGCTTGGTGAGGCGGGGCTGGGGGCTTTCTGGGGGGCTTTCTGAGGGGCTTCCTGGGGTGGGCCTGGAGAGGGACTGGAGCTCACTCTCCAGCCTCCTGGGCTCTGCCCCCTCCGCCACACGACACAGGGGACCCTGTCACCGCAGGCCTGACCCGGGGTATGTCCTCATTCAGGACTGGGCCAGTGAGCCTTGGGGGCTTTGTGGAGTAATCCCAGGTCCTGGTCCTCTCTTGGCCCCCCTTGCCTACCTTCCACCTGGCCTGGCCTGCCATCCTGTACCCAGCCAACGTCTCTGTCATTCAAGGGCGGTCCTAATGCCCCCGCCTCCGAGAGGCCACCCCTGATCCAGCCCTGGTGGATGTGGTGTGCCCCTGTGGGCCCCACTTCCTGTCCTGCCACAGCCAGGCCCCCAGAGCTAGGTCTGGTGGGTGTGCAGGTCTGCTGGGTGTGCAGGACCAGTGGGTGTCTCAGGACCAGTAGGTGTTTCAGGACTAGTGGGTGTCTCAGGACTAGTGGGTGTCCAGGTCTAGTGACCATCCCCCCCTTACCCTGTCACAGGGAGATGGAGGGCCCACAGACAGATGGGGCAGCGGAGGGGCTGAGAGAGAGCCTGGGCCGGGCAGAGTGGGTGGGGAGATGGAGGGGCTAGAAGAGCCAAGGGAACACGGCCTAGGCTGAGGAGCCAGAGCTGCAGCGGGCAGCCCTCCCCCCATCCAGCGGGCAGGTCTGCTCCCAGAAAACAGATTCAGGAGGCCTGGTGCAGGTGTGGGCCGTGATTCTTCAGAGGTGCTGGGGGCTGGGCTACACGGGGCTGCGGCCCAGGGTCTAGAGATGGAGGCTCAAGAGTGGGGCAAGCAGGAGGAAGGCGCCGGCCAGGCCACGGGGGCCACCCAGGGTGGGCGCCCCATCCACGTTGCACAGGTCAGCGTTGCAGCAGGACACGGGCCGGGTCCAGCCGATGCCGTCCACGTCTGAGGGCACGCACTTGCTGGCACAGGACTTGGTCACCGTGGAGTCCCCCAGGAAGGGGTACACTGGGGGCACAGGGGCGCTGGTGTCAGGCTGGCCCCCGAGCCCCAGCCCAGCCGCCTCCCGCAGCACCCTCTCTGCCTCAGCCCCTCCGTGACCCGGCCCCTCCTTCCTTCTACCACCCTTGTGCCAGGGGCGCGCGGTGACTTGTTCAGGATGCCTCGAGGGGTGAGGCTGCTCCCGTGACTCCCCAGCCAGGCTGCAAGAGCCTCCCACTCCAGGAAGGAGGGTGAGGAAAGAGGGAGGGAGCCTGGCTGCTTGGACCGAAAGCCCTCTCTGGAGATGACACAGGCGGGGGCCGCCCTCTGCACACAGGGCCCGGGCTGGAGGCAGCTCCGACCCCGGGGCGCAGCCCGCCCACTGACCTGTCTCCAGGGAGTACAGTGTGGTCTTGCACATGGTCTCGTTGGCGTTGCAGGTGGTGATGGTGATGCAGCTGGACACGCTGATGGGCTCGGGACACGTGTAGCATTGCAGGGTGACCGCTGGGGAAGGAGCGGCCGGGGCTGGTCAGGCAGGCCTGTCCCTCCCAAGCCTTGGGACCCGAGAGCCCAGGTTTGAGGGGGACAACGCCACCAAGCCTCCAGTTTCCCACCGACCAAAACCCCAGGAAGATTCAAGAGCCGCGAGCTGGGTCCCTGAATCCTGAGGCAGAGTGTGCCCCTGGGGGTCGGGCTCAGCCTGCCGGCCAAAGCCAAGATTAAGCAGTGTTGGGGGTGCTGGGGAGGCACGCAGAGGTGGGGCCGCACCCACGCCTCTGCAATAAAGGGCCCGGCAGGGGCCGGGAGGACCTCCCTGTAGCAGGTCACCCCCTGCACGCCCCAGGCGTCCTCATCAGCAACATGCAGGACCCCAAGTGCTGCAGGGGGATCGAGGATCGGGCAGGGAGGTGTATGGCTGCAGGGTGGGCTGGGCCGGGCCTGCTGTGCTGCTGGTGGAAGCTTAACAAGGGAGAGGAGGAGAGCTCAGGCCCAGAGGGACCCAGGCGGGTCAGGGCACGGGCTGACAAGCTGACCCCTTCCCTCCAGCGCCGCCGGTGCCCCAGGTGGACCCCCGCAGCCTGACCCTCCACCCCCACTGCTGTTACTGTGTCTCCCAGGACACCTCCGTTTCCTTCTGGGCAGGACCGCCTGGCTGGGGCCCACCCCACCAGCTCCTCCTTGGGTTGGGAGTGGGGCCCATGAGGGTCTGGGCGTCTGAGACCCAAGTCCCCCAGGATGTCCGGTTCGCTTCCCTCTTTTCCGCCTCCTGCCACCCCCACCCCAGTGCCTCCCCAGGGTCCCCACAGCATCTCCTGCATCCTGCCCTGGGAACCACGGCCCCGGAATCTGGGAATGTCACTCTGACCTTGCCCGCCTGCCCCAGCGGAGAGCCCATCCCTGGTGTCCATGCCCCCGATGAAGGGCTATTCCCTGCACTGGGCACCCAGGGCCTTGGCGGCCAACCGCCCTGCCAGTCCCAGCCCTGGACAGTGCCTCCCGCTGTCCCTGTCCTCACCCTCCCTGGGCCGCAGGCGCCTCTCTGCTGGTGCCCATCTGTGCCTGCCCCCCACGCCCTCCTCACCTTCCTGCTTTCTGCCTCTCCCTGGCCCCCGCTGCCCCCTCAGGCTGCCGGGCACCCCTCACCGAGCTCACAGCAGGCGGCCAGCACCAGCGCCGGCAGTGCCAGCCGTGTCCCCCACATGGTCTGGTTCCTGCAGCGCGTCAGTCCTGGGCCTGCCCCCCCGGAGATGGGAGCACCGTGCAGCCACCCGACCGGTCAGCTGAGCAGATTAGGGGGATCGGTTTCCCAGGTGGCGGAGGTACGGAGGCCCGCCCCCTGCCCAGGGGCTCCACCCGCCTCCACCTGGACCCGCTCCTCCACGGCTCTCCGCCACCCCTCCCCACCCCTTCCTCATTCCTCTGCCTCCCGCAGTCTGGGCCCCTCCCCGCACCCTCATGACCCCCTGGTGACCCCCCTCTTATGGTTGGGGGTCCTCGCCTGCCTCTGTAACTCTCTCTGGGGTGCTCCGACTTCTCCCCACCAGAAGGTACTGCCCCTCAGGATGGCCTCAGCCTGCCTGGAAGGGAGCAGCAGAGGGGGGCTCCCCTGCACCCTGACTCCCGCCTCTGTCAGGGGCCTTGTATGCCCACTCCTGTCTGCGGCATTGAGTCCTGGCCTAGTGGTTCTGGGTTTGAGTCCTCCCAGGGTGCCCAGGCCCCCACAGATTCTTTGAGGTGGTCACGTGGGGCATCGTGATGGGGAAATGGTCGCCTGGACAACCAGCCAATATGTGCTCAGAGGCTTAAGGGCACAAAGACAACAAAACTGCTGGGTCAACAGAAAGATCCTGGACGGTAGGGGGGAGGGGTGGGGTTGCAGGGGGACACGAATCCTGGTGTCCCCTCCAGGGGCTGGCACACCTTGGTCAGAGCCCCTGGCCCCACTGCAGGTCAACGAGTTGACAGGATGGGCCTGGCCCCAGACTCAGAAGGGGGAGAAATGGATTCGGATTCAGATTCCGGTCCTAGGTTCAAGCGGCTGGAGGCACTGCTAGCCCGCCCACACCCCCCCCCCCCCCGCCCCGGGGGCTGCACCTCGGCCTCTCCAGGGTCTGCCCTGTCTGTGACCCTCCCTCCCTGCTCTGGGCCCCACGCTGCCCCAGCCAGCGAGGGTAGGTGCAGGACAGGGCTGTTGACAGGCCTGGTTGGCCGGGCTGGGCTTAACTCGCCCGGCTCCGCCACAGCCCCGCTGGGCTCCTCCCTCCTCTCCCATCGGGTCCAGATCTCGCTCTCCTGCAGCTCCACCCCTGCTTTCCTGCTCCAGGGTGTCCTTCCCTCCTCTCGTCCTGTGGCTGAAATTCTGCCTGGGAGCCCCCCACCCCACCCGATCGCCCCCACTGGCCTTTTCTAGTCCCAGGGACAGCAGCTCCATGTGGGCTGTGGTCTTTGATGCCGAGACTGGGAGGGCTGTGTCTCCCTGGGCACCAGGGTGGAGAGGGGCGCCTAGCCTTCCCTAAACACCCAGAAGGTGTCAGACGCCCCGCCTGCCGCCTGCCAGACCTGGTTCCTGACACCACAGCTAGTGGTGGTGCTAGAGTTTCAGATGCGGGATGAGAGGCTGTCGTAGCGAGTTGACAGGTTGGTCACTTGGAAGCTGGGCTGGGCGGCGGCCAAGACAGCGGCCGGGCCTGTCTGATTCCGCCACTCCCCAGGCCTCCGGGTTGATGCTGGGCGCGGCTAACAGGAACAGACAGCACCTCGCACACACGAGCTTCCTCCTGGGCCATTCGGCTGGTCCAGCCCAACGCCTTCCATCCTCAGACCCAGGGACCCCACCTGTCCTTTTCTTGGAACAAGTCTGGCCTCTGGGCATTAGCTCCTCCTAGAGTTTCTGCCTGGCCCCCACAGGGAGACACAGGCTGAGCCTCTCTGAAGTCGCAGCTGTGCACAGGGTGAGAAGGAATGTGCCTCAGCCAGGGTCTGGGTGCTCTGCTGGGAAGCCTCCCTGCTAGGAGGTCTATGCCCTTCCCTGCTCCTCTAGGAGCCTCGGGGTCAGTGTGCACAGTGTGACCAGGGTCAGAGGTCAGTGCGACCATGGGCAGGGGTCAGCTTGTGACCAGGGTCAGAGTGTGACCAGAGTCAGGCTCAGTGTGTGACTGGGATCGGGGGTCAGGTGTCACCATCACTTTGTCTGGGAAACTCTTGTGTCCTTAGAAAGAACAAACTAGACAAATAGGTTAAAAAGGCAGGGAGCAAAGGTCAGTAAAAGAATTACTGTAACCAGCAGTCTAAGCAGGAGTCGGAACCAGTAGCAAAACTTGATCTTGGTCCAGATAGAGTCAACACTTGGGTTACCCTCTTCACAGGAATGGAGCCATTTGGAGTGGTCATATATATTTTCTGATGTATTTTTCTATTAACCTAGTGTTATTGATGTAGGTACAACAGACCCAGTTAGAAGTAGTTGAAGGACTGACAACATGAATGTTAGCAGACAAAATAAATCTTTTTTTTTTTTTTCCAGGAGAAAGCCTGAAAGCCAATCTGGACCTGGTGCTTTGCCAGATAGCCAGTTGTCTAAGTTTGTCTGAGTAGGTTCTAGACTTTTAATGTGGTATTAACATATAAGCCAAAGTAGTTGTCTCCAGTAGCAATTTTACTGTTTTTCTAGGTATGAGAAGATGTAAGAATTTGGGCCCAAGAAAATCCTTACATGAAAATATCTAACTATCTGAAGGCCTGTTTTGTCCATTATCCCAGAGCTCAAAGTGAGTGCCTAATTTCTGATCTCTGCCCTGAATTCCTTTCAGGGGGTGTTGAAGGGCAGCAGCTGTAGTGGCCATGATTTAACCTTTGTAGAGGCACACAGCAAATGCCAGGCTTCAGTCGGCAGGGCCCCTTCACAGTCATAAGTTGACCATGGTTTGGGGGCATTTCATGACCATTTTGTCCCACGGTGCTAGGAATGCTTACTCCCAGGTCTGTCAGAGATTTCACTCATCGGCCACTCAGTGTGCTGTTTCTGGACCAGGCCCTGTGAGTAGCAAAAGTCTCTGGACCACACCTGTCTTACTGCCTCTTGGTCCAGGGAAATAGTCTCTCTTGTTGCTTCTTTTTATATCTGGAGTCACAGTATTACAATCATTGATCTCATATGGAACTGTAGCCCATCGTTTTATCAGTGGCTCAGTTACACACTTGGTAATGTAAGAAACAACACTTTTGAAACAGGCAATATAGAAAACAATATAATAAATAATATATATTAAATATATTTATAGCTTATATTAAATATATTAAATTCTGTTAATAACAAAATTTATTTACCTAGTTAATTTTAATTTAATCCTAGAAAGCCCCCTCCCTTTTTAAACAAATCTTGAAGAGGTAATATTTTTGCACAGGCCTCAGAATGAAACCATAGCCCTCTGTGATGACAGGCTTAAGAAGCACATTTCCAATCTCATTGCAATTCAATAGGCAAAGCAACTTGGTTGCTACTGTGACAAATAACATTTTAAGAGTAACTAGAACTATGACTACTAACATTCTACCAGGACATGTCAGATCTTTATGAATTCCATTTAATTGTTAGCACATCTGTATTAGTAACACCTTCCATACAATATTTACGGTATGACGAGTTATTCACTTAGTGAAAATAACAATGAAAGATTTCAAAGGCAGTTCAACATCTCAAGAAAGTCTGTACCATGTACAAAGCTCTTTTATCAGGTTCCACTTTCCAAAAACCTCTTTTCTGTGTGTATCCAATCACTTTTCCCACTCAGAAACAGTCACCTGTGAGCCAGACCTACTTTCTTTTTCCTTAATAAAATGCAATTTTATTCCTCATACCCTGTTTACCAAAAACACACATCCTCCTCTCTTTAAGGAAGGAAGAACTGATCTTTATGTTAGCATTCCATAGATTGGAGAGCATAAGTACGAGTTATAATTTCTAAAAACCTTTGCTTTCTTATAGAAAACATCTCAGGATGGCACCAACCATTCTTCATTAATAGTCCAAAATGTTTTTAGTTTTTCTGTAAGCGGAAATTAGTTTTCAGTAATCAGTGTTTCAGAATCTTATTTTATTTAGAAATGACCTAGCTAGTCAATAAACTTTTTCATCAGTTAGTTTAGCACAACCCTAAAAATTCAGGTTACCAAAATCTGGACAGACTGTTTTAGACATTCCTAAAGAATAATTATTCTTAACAGAGTTTATCTAAAAGCTCCAATCTCATTTGCATTCTTTCCTTAAAAAAATTTTCACTTGAGTTACTTTCCTTGCTGACAAACTTGTAACAGATATAACAAAATTTTATTTAACTTATATTAAATGTAGCCACAATGAAAATATTATGCTTAATATTAATGACTCCGAGACCTGTCTATATTAGATCAATAAACATTAATACCAGCTGTTAACACTAAATACTTCCCAGTTTACATGAACCTGAAATTTATTTAGCTTAATTTTTCTTAGAATTAAGTGCATTTGTACTTAGAATTACAAGTTTCACTTGTAAGTACTTACTTTTCTTTAAACCAATTGAATAGAGTTCATTTACAAATTAACCTCAGCAATATTATCTAAAGACAAAGACACATATTGAGACACACATATATACCTGAACAGACAGGAATGTCATAGTTTCTGATTGAGATTTAAAATGTCTCTTAGCCCCCTTTTTTCCCCTTAGCTTGAAATTCTATTAAAAATTACCTCAAAGCTAAAGTTTCAGGCAAGGTGGGCTGTGTATCTCAAGGACATAAGAGTTAACTTCAAGTTTTCTTTAGGTATATATCTTTTAACAAGCTTTGTGAATGTCACTCCATTGTGTGTCACTCTGTGACCCCATGGACTATACAGTCCATGGAATTTTCCAGGCCAGAATACTGGAGTGGGTAGCCTTTCGCTTATCTAGGGGATCTTCCTAGCCCAGGTCTCCCGCATTGCAGGCGGATTCTTTCCCAGCTGAGCAACCAGGGAAGCCCAAGAATACTGGAGTGGGTAGCCTATCCCTTCTCCAGCGGATCTTCCCGACCAGGAATTGAACCGGGGCCTCCCGCATTGCAGATGGATTCTTTACCAACTGAGCTACCAGGGAAGCCCAAGCTTTTAACAAGCCAGTTGTTTTTAATTGCATATGCAAAAAGAACTGATTTTGCAATTTCAAAAGAAATTTTGTTTCAGCCCATTTTCTCCAGAGTCTAAAGAATATTGTGGCCACTTTCTTTTTTCCTTTTGTGATCATGGTCTCATAATTAATCAGGAGTGTTCAAATTGACTCTGACAACAGGGGCAGGTTGACTGATAAAATCTTGTCCCAGCAGAGACTGTCTCTCTGGGAAGGTGAGGCCTTTGTCCTGTCAGAAGAATCTGAAGGAGTAAGGGAACACAGGGGTGGGGGAAGCTTGTTTCTACCACCCCCACCCAAGAGATAGGAGAAATTAAAAGGGAATTTTTTAGAATGTTAGGAGAATTTTTCTGATTCCTCAGGCTTTTGATTATAGGAGAAAGTCCTAGACATAAGCGACTCTCAGTCCATTTTCCCATCCTGTGGTAATAAAGATAAGAGACCCATTTTCAGGTCCATTTTTAATCCCCAACTTAAATAAAGGCCAGGCACTGCTACAGTAAGACTTAATTTTTTCCTTTCTTAGCACATCTGTTTCTTCTGGCTTAGAAAGGGATCCACCCACAATGAACAGCCTGCAGCCAAGAACATAGAGCTTGTAGAAAAGTAACCCTGCATACCAGCATACCATCCATTTAGGAGGACCAGAGTATCCCCTGAATTCCGCTCGATCTTATTGTCTGATGGGGTTTTGAGTCATGAATCCATTGAAACATGGCCAGACGTCTCTGGCCCCCCTTTGATACCCTGCGCAGGGCGTCCAACCCAGCATGGCCAGAGAAGGGCTTTTAAACTATTGCCAGCGTGTTGGCAGGGCTCTCCTTGAGAGAGGGCTGTTGTAGCACCGCAGTCTGCACTAAAGTGGCCAAGCTGACAGGCTGGCTGTTACAGTGCACGGGCTGCCAAGGCCTGGCGTGAAGGGGAACTCCTGGAGGGATGGAGGTGGCCGCAGTGGGAAATGCCACTGGGGTCAGGATCTGACGGCTGAGAGATGGAAGCATTTCCACAGAGGATTTCTGGACACAGAGTAAGACAGATGGGAGATTAAGCAGAAGAAGAACCCCAAGTCTATCACCTCGCTTGTGTGGAGTCTAAGGTAAATCTTGTTTCCCAAGTTAGAGTAGGTAAGAGAAAAAATAAAGAACTGGGAGCAGGCCTGTGAGCAACACAGTGGGGTGGGGGTGGGGGTGGAGGGGAGAGATGCTGGAAGGCAGGGAGGGAATGTTTCTGGAATCCTCCCCCTCTAGGGGAGGTAATTTTTCTACCCTAGGAAATAAAGCGCATCAGGTAGCAGAGTGCAGTCGTTGGAGGCAGGGGCAGGTGCCGAGCTCCAGCTCCCAGTGCATTACTCCCAACGCTGATGAAGACACAGCCCTTGGGCATGGGGGGTGCTGGAGGTTATAGTCTAGGCAAAGTGAAAGAAAGTGGGAGAGAGGAAAGAGAAGAGAGGCTGGGCTCCTTCACCGAGCTGATGAAGCCTTGCAGGTCTTGGGAAGGGAACAAAGCAGAATGTGAGCGCAAGCCAGTTCCCATGGGGGAGAGACAGAAAGCAAAAGTCAGAAGTCTCCAGCCAGCAATGTGGGCGAGACCTGCAACTTTACCTTAATTCCCAGGTTGCACCCCGCTCCCCACCACCCCCGGGGGTTTCAGCACCATTTGATCTCAGTGACGCAGCAGGTGAGCAGTGGCATGAAGCAAGATCTTAATTCCCAGCCCAGGAGCCTGAATGAAAACCAGGGATTCTAGCCACCAAACCAGCAAGGGTTAGAGGCCAGAAGCTGTTTTTCCCTGGATCTTTGCCCCTTGTGAAAAATGCATTTATCACGTGGGCAGAAGCTGTAAGTGCAGGTACACAGTTTATTATTAGAGACAGCAGCAAGTGGGAGGACACACAGAGAAATGGCTTGTTTAGCTGAGATAGAAGCAAGGCCGAGAGGCACACCCAGAGAGAAAGGGTGTGGGCAACCCCCCTGGTGAGGAGGAGCCCTCTAAAGAGGCTGTTAAGTCATTTCTATTGATCAGTTCTTATGGGTCTTTCTCTTCCTTCAGGCTAGTTATCTGGTTTCTTTCTCCACACCTGACTTACCCTGGGACCCTCCCCTGGAATGCGCACACACCTGTCAGCCAAGATGGATCTCGAAGTGAAGGCTTCTGGGAGGAGCAAGACTCATTATGGTCTGGAGTTATCCCTTGACTTTTGACCCACAAGGAGCCTTTCTGTGCGTATGTAGTGTCTCTCTTATCCCAAGAGGGGGAAGCGGAGATCCCTTCAGCCTTTACTCAAACAGGATTTTGCACCTCTCTGTCCTTGCCATGACTATTGCCTTAACACGTTCACAAGAGACAAACACTGACTACTCACCCTGTTTCTGTTGTTACTTTCCTTTCGGAGGGCAAACAGGAGGCTGAGTGTAAATGCCTCAGCTGCAGCCCACCTGTCTGTTGCCTCAGGAGATGCAAACAGGAGGCCAGTTGTGAATGTCTAACCTGGAGCCCACCTATCTCCTACATCAAAGCCTGTGAGCCCACTCCTGTCCCTAAACGTGCAAATGAATCTAAAAGCTTCAAAAGCGGAAGCTTCACCAGCATGCCAGCCTGCAGTGAGTAGATGGACCGGTTGTCCTCCAGAGAGCCACAGAGCAGAGTCCTCAGCTTTCCCATCTGTCAAGTGGGCCTCCCTCCAGAAGCGGTGGCTTGAGAGGCCTGCCTCCCTGGGATGGTCATGATCTTGACTGTTTGTTTGGGCCTGTGGGTATTTGCCCAGTGCTGGGGAGGGGTGGGGTGGCCAGGAGCAGAAAGGCTGTTGCTCTTAAGAGGGGCCCCGTGATGGGTGCCAGCCCAGAAGAGCACTCCTGAGAGCAGGAGCCAGACCTCCTGGGAGTGACGTGCCAGGCAAGCCATTCTGCCAAAACGGGCGACGTGCGTGGGGGCAGCAGAGGTGGCCGTCTGCAGGGGCCAGTCCTGCCGGCCCCGGGGCCCTTGTGTGTCCACGCTGGCGGCCTGAGAGCGGCTTCTGTTCGTCCCCCTACCTGTGGGCTCCTCTGGGCTGGCCGGTCTCAGACCCTGCCCCCCCAGCAGAGGAAGAGCTGCTGTCAGGAGTAGAAGGCTGGGTGATGGGTGGGTGCCTGGGGTCCTGCCTCCTCTCCAGGCCCCTCAGCCTTTCCCAGGGGCCAGCTGGGTGAGCTGGTAGGTCGGTCTCGCTCCCAGAGAACCAGAACCAGGGCTGGTCCCAGTGAGCCACGGGGGTCCTCCTGCCTCCCCTCCCCTGGGTCATCATCTGTCTTGGACCAGGGCTGGCTCCAGGGCCAAGACTGGGAGAACCAGGGGAGGCGGGAGTCTAGGATGGACAGAGCCAGCAGGACCAGCCAAACCAGACCACTGGGGTTGAGTGCAGCTGGGTGGCTGGTGAGGACTGAAAGAAAGCAGGTACACGTATTCATCCATTTATTCACTGGTTTGAGGAGGTACAAAGGACGGCTCAGGTGTACACAGTGGGGGGCCATAGCCCAAGGCGATTCCATGCCCCATAGAGGCAGGGCTTGGGGCTTGGGCCTGGGAAGAGCCTGGACCTCAGCAAGTGGACTGAAGGGAAAGGGCACCATCCGTACATCTGTCCATCCATTCATCCCCCTGGGGCCTCCAGTGTGCCCGGCCCCGGGCGAGCACTTTCAGCCACAGCCTCCCTCACTCTCACCAGGCCCCAGTGTGGCGGGCGCTATCATCCTCATTTTAACCACAGAACAACTGGGGCTTGGAGACATGAACAAGCAGCTCCAGGTCAGCCTGAGCGACAGGACCCAGCAAACTGGGTGGGCGGGGGGGGGTGCTGGGATGAAAAGGAAAGAGGCCTTTCAGTTTCTTTCCACCTTTCTCAGAGGCTAGAATCGTGAAGAAGTACATCACCACAAATCACACGCTCCAGAGGGAGGAGGAGAAGCAGCTGTCCGACCTCCCCTCTGCAATGTCGTCCACACCCGGGCACCAGCCACAGGGCCACAATGGGGCACTCACGCCCTCCTTACATGACGGCGCCAGGCCCGGCCCGCTTTCTGGGTCAGAGCTCTGGCACCGGCTTCTCAGCGGGACTCCAGATGGATGCATGGCGCAGGAGCCCAGGGGGGGCGGTCCACGGAGGGCCGTCACCTGCTCAGGCAGCCGCTACTGGGACGCACAGGCTGCTTCCAGACTTGAGATGCCGCCAAGAGCTGCGAGGATGAGCTCGGGCACTGCCCGCCCCGCGAGGCTCTCGTTTCTTTTGGGGCCCCACTGCCCTGACACAGGTGGGGAAGGGGTCTGGGCCAGACAAGCCTGCCGTGCTGGGCGCCCCTCTGCCTTCCTCTTTGCTTTCCACCCCGGTCCAGCGCCCACACACAGGGCTGAACCCCTTGACTGTGGCATTTATGGCTTCTCACACCTAGTTCCAATGTTCTTCTAAGCTTTCCTGACCTGAAGCTGTTATAATTACTTTACATGCTAAAGTCCTCTTAAACTTATAAACCCACCTTCCCAGCTTCCCCTTTCTCTCCCAGCTGATGGAAGAAGCAACTGCATGGTGGGGCGGGGTGCGGTGGGGGTGGGGCTGCCTTGGGCAGCCACTTCATCTCTGTCTCAGTCTCCCCGTCTGTCAAAGGGGCAGGTGTCGGCACCCAGGTGCAGGGCTGTGCTGGAGCGCTTAGAGCCTCGACTGCAGGGAAACTGGCAGCTGTTAGTTACTAACCTTCTAGACAGTCCCGGCAAGTTTACCGGTTTGATTTCCAAGGGCTCCGCTGGTGCTCCTGCCTTTGCAGAGCCACACACTTCCCACCAGGGGGCTGGGCCTGGGCAGGAGCGGAACACCTTTCCGGGGCTCTACGCTGGGCTTCTCCCCCAGCCAGGCCAGGCAGAACCGTCTGCGGCGGTGGTGTAGGCAGACTGGTCCCCAGCGCTGGGGCAGTGCCATGGGCGTTGGCATGGGCCCAGATCAGCGTGGACAGATGGATGCAGGAGTAAGACGCACCGCCCCCCCGCAACACAACACTCTCAGCTGCCACTGGATCCCGGCTCCCAGTGGCCCCAGAGCCCACATGGGGCCACGCAGGGCTCCACTCCATCCTCGCTGGAACAGGGCGGAGGGAGGGAGGACCCGGTCTAGCCGAGGAGCCACTAGACCCGGGACAAAGCGCTTGCACAAGCGGTCAGTGACCCAGCTTCCCAGGCCTCTCCTGCTGAGTCAACAGAGCAGTGTGCCCGCAGCTGCCCCCCCCCCCCCCCCGCCGCTATCAGCCTGCACGTGCAGCGGGGGGTTTGGTTTCCTCCCTGAGGTGGCCCACTCCTGGGGGGGTCTTTGGGAAGAGGAGCTGGGGGTGGAGTGGTCAGGCTTCCTCCCAGCCTCCTCCAGGGAGGGGCTCACACAGACTGGGCGGGGCACCCGGTCGCTCCCTGGGCTGAACACTCCACCCGCCGTTCCTTCGGCTTGCAGGCCCTCTGCTAAGTCTGACCCAGCCCCAGCTAAGGACTTCTTGCGCCGGCTTCCCCAAAGCGTCCAGGTCTCTGACGTCTGGGGGTCTCAGAGGGAAGCTCTGAGGAAAGGATTTCCAGCACAGGTCCCCCTGACAGGGGCCACGCTTAGCGGCCAAGGACTTCTGAGTTCCAGGGACAACCCCCACGGGGCCGTCTGCCATCATCCGGCACACGCGGGCTGTGCTGGCTGGAAGGCTCCCCTCCGCGGACAGACCCGGGCTTCCGCAACCTGGAGGGGTGGGGCTCACCTGGGGTGGGTACCCTTTAAATGATAAGCTTTCTTGGGTCCCTGGGCTTTCCTGGTGGCTCAAAAGGTAAAGAGTCTGCTTGCAACGCGGGAGACCCAGGTTCCATCCCTGATCAGGAGGATCCGCTGGAGAAGGACAGGGCAACCCACTCCAGTATTCTTGTCTGGAGAATCCCAAGGAGAGAGGAGCCTGGGGGCTAACGTCTGTGGAGTCTCAAAGAGTCGTACACGACTGAGCGCCTCTGTCTTTCTGGGTCCCTGGGGATCCAGCGTGAGACCCAGTGTGATTTGGGGGCAGCTGAGAGTCGCTTCCAGGGATGAGGCAGGAGCGCTCCAGCCGGTGCAGAGCTCTCGCCCTCCCCGCGGGCGGGGTCAGAGTCGGCGCGCCACGCCCCCCGTCAGCCCGGACCCTGGTGCGATCGCCCGCGGCCAGGGGCGAGGGAACGCCCGCTGAGCGCGGAGGGAGCTCGGCCTCCGACCCTTCTGCTGTGATCCCTCCTCCCGTCCCCGGCCTCCCCTTCCCCCGAAGCCCGCCTTCCCCGCCCCTCCGGCAGGCCCAGTCCGCCCTCGCCCGGTGCGGCCCCGAGCGTCCCGAGAGGGCGTCTCCCGCCCGCCCTCCTGCCCCCGCGTGTCCGACGGGGTTGGGCGAATCCTTTCGGGCACCCGGCAAGAGTTCACTTCATGAAAGGGCGCCCTCCGCCAGGCCTGCAGACCAGGCTTCGGATGGCTGCGGCTCAGCACCCTTCCCTCCTGGCCCAAAAATAGCCCAGAGATCAGCTCTCAAGCTCCACCAAATATAGCCTGATCTGTCCGGACCCACGTCCTGAGCAGGGGCCCGGCGCCGGATCGGGAGGGCCCTCGGGGGCCTCTTCAGGCCGAGCTAGTCCCTCCCCTGCCAGGGCTGCCTGGAACGAGGGCACAGCCCAGGGGGCCCAGGCCTGTTTCCCTCCGCCCTCCAGCCCTCTCCGCCCCAGGCAGCCCTCCTGGAGCCCCTGAGAGCCTGCTTTCTGGATCCGGCCCCCAGCCCCGGGTCCTGATCGCCCCTCCCCCTCCAGCGTACCTACAAGGCAGAGGGGCCAAAGGGCCCCTTCAAATCAGTGTTCCTGGGCCAACAGCACGCTGTGCCCTCGTCCCAGTCCTTGGATGAGGAGAGGCTTATCTGCCTCGTCAAAGCCAGAAGCCTTGGGAGGTGTAGTCAGCCTTTAGGAAACCATCAGCCTTTAGGAAACCAGATTACAAATGGGAAGCAGACCCCAGGGTGGCTGGGGGAGGTCAACAGTCCTCTTGCAGACAGTCCTGGGTGTGGCTGGGGGGTTCGGGGAGGGCAGAGGGAGGGTGGGGGTGTCGGGGGAGAGGGTGGGGCTATGCTTTGCCCTCTCTGGTTTTAGAGCAGACCCCAGAGGGTGGCCAAGGGTATAAGCGCCAGGGCCAGGGTCGCGAGGGTGGCGAGGCCAGCACCGTTACAGAGGTCATACTGGCAGCAGGAAGTAGTGGATGCGTGCTTGGAGTAGCCGTCGTACACGGTCTCAAAGCAACTGGGCACACAGGACTTGCTCACCTTCATCCTGGTCGGGGTATAGTCTGCAGAGGGAGGGAAGGTAGGCCAGGACCCTGAGAGGGGCCAACCCGAGTATGCAAGGCCATTAGGCCAGGTTCCCCTCCGCCTGGGGCTCCCAGAAAGGATCCTGGAGCAAGTGGGAGCCTCCCTCCTCAGCCTCCCCCACACTACTCCCTGCCCCACCCTGGTGCTCCCCAGAGAGGGCTGGGGGAGCATCCCAGGAACTCACAAGTGCGCGTTGTCATGCAGTAGGAGACCATGGCCGGGCAGCGCATGGGGTTGAAGCAGTTCTCCCCATTGTAGGCGCACACATGGCAGTCCAGAGCCTGGGCTGGGGCCGGAGAGGGGCCGCAGGGACAGGGGTCAGAGGACAGGGCGAAGCCCCTAGTCCAGCCCATCAGCCCCGGGGCCCATCACCTTCCCCAAGAAGAGCTGGAAGGAGAGGTGGTCACTGGGATTTCTGCCACCATCCCCCCAACTCAGCCTGGATGACCCCAAAGGTAGGTCTGTCCATCCCTCTGTTCTCTGTCCATCTTACCCACAGGAAGGCCCACCAGGGCCACCAAGAACAGGGTGAGCAGGGGCGTCATGGCCGGGGGCCAGAGGGCAGAGTGGGAGCAGGGATGTGGAGAGCAGTTGGTCCTTGATTCAACTCAGGCCAGGGCTGGGGCAGGGCACAGAGCAGGTGGGACAACCCCCTGCCCTCCCGGAGCTCCTGGTCAACTGGAGGCGCTGTGTTCCTGCACAGAGGGCAACAAGGACGGGAGGTCATAGCAGGGCCTGAGGGACCCACAGGGGGCTTGGGCAGAGGGGCCACCCAGCTCAGCTGGAAGGCTTCCTGGAGGAGGAGACATGAATGAGATGAGAAGGAAGCAGGGGGGCCACTCCAACGAGACACACAAGTGCCAGTAAAAGGGCGAGACCTGTGCACACCAGAGGCGGCACTGCCACAGTTAGGGTGGGGTGCCAAGCAAAGGCTGGAGGGGAAACTTGAATGCTAGACCAGAACCCACACCCTCCCTGGGGATGGTTGAGGCAGGGGCGCTAGGGAACTTGGCACCCAGCCCTCTCCCACCCAGAGCCCTGAGTACAAGGGTGCCCTTGGGCCCTGAGGAGTGGGTCTGTCCTCACTACTGTCCTCACTACTCCCCTCCCCTTTAACCCCTGGCGTGTCTTTGCATGGACCCCCACTTTCAGGGCCCAGCTGGGGGCCCTTCTCCTGGGAGACTTCCGAAGCCCTCAGCCATTGCGGGGCTGGCGGCATTGGTGGGCTGCAGCTCTGTCCAGTCTGCAGGGGGGCCCTTGGGCAGGACAAGAACTTCCCAGCCGGATCCGCTGTTTAGAGCGGAGATGCCCCCTCTCCAGACAGGCTCTGGGCGAATCCGACTACGACTTCCCTCCCTGCGTGACTTCCCTCCCTGCGCGGGGACACTCCAGCCCCGCCTCTGCGCCAACGGGGGCTAAATCAGACTCTCCCCTTCCAGAGAACAACAAACCCGTCTTCCATGACCCATTTTCCAGGCGTCCCCCTCGGGGTATCCAGGGTCTGAGTAAGGCCGGGCCTGCAGCGTCAGCTCTTCCCCGCCCCCTCCCGGGGAGCCCCGCCCCCGCGACTGCGGTCCCAAGTTGGGGGATGACCTCAACCATGACCTTCATTCACCACACCGAGGCCCCGTTAAGCCTGCGACTCACCTGCGGCCGCTCTCCAGCCCCTGCAACTCGGGTCTGATAGCACGGCCGTCCCTCCGTGCGCCCCGCAGTGACCACGCCGCGTCGCCGCCCCCGAGGAAGAGCCGCCAGTCGCCGGCGACCTCACTGCAGGCCCCGCCCCGCCCCGCCCCGCCCGCATGCGGGCTCGTCCCTCCTGCGGGGCTGGGACCCCCGGCAACAGTCCATGATGTCAAGGCCTTTAGGCCCCGCGGGGACACCCACGCGACGCTCAGACGCACGCGCACCGCGGGACACGTCTGGCCCTGCCTCGCTCTCTCTGCTTCCAGCAGCCGCAGCCGCCCACTCACCCCGCGTTAAGGGTTACGTAGTCAGCCCCGCACCCCAGCAGCCCGCTGCGCCCCCTCCTTTCACTCAGTTTAACAGGGGGTGGAGTGGAGCCGACTTCTGGACTGGGCTTCTGGGTCCCCAACCTGACCCTCCTTTACCTGCAGTGTGACCTCCGCAAGCCACCCAGCCTCTCTGGGCCTCCTCCCCACACCTGGTCCCACCCAACACAGGGTTAAAGCAAGTCTTGAAAGGAGTCCACTGTTTCATAAATCCCTTAAACATTAATAATAATGTTTAAGGCAAAATTTAAGATTTTCGTGGGCCCTAAATTTTTTTTCTAATGTGAGAAAAGAATACATAAGGAAATGTATGACCCTAAATTTTATTTTTCTTTCAAAGAGCTGAGCCATTTTGGGGGCCCTAGGCTCTGAGCCTCCAAAGTGAATTTAAAAAGATGGTAACGATAACCCAATATGCAAAACAGAAAAAGAGACACAGATGTACAGAACAGACTTTGGGACTCTGTGGGAGAAGGCAAGGTAATCCATGGCTGATTCGTGTCAGTGTATGGCAAAACCACTACAATATTGTAAAGTAATCAGCCTCCAACAAATAAAAATAAATGAAAAAAGAAAACTAAGTGAGGCAGGCACTCTCTCTGGATGGACTGGAATGGTTGGTCACCCTGTTTGCCAAATAGTCACTGAGATGCCACAGGTGCCAGGTGTTGGGGATAAAACTGACAAACACTCCCAAATATTCTTGACATCATGAAGCTTACAATCTAATGAGGCGTAAAATAAACACAAGGGTGTGGAACCCTGTGTGTGTTGTGGCCTTCATCCTCAGATCATGATGAATTAGGGTGTTGCCAAACTCAGCTTCTGTTCACTGCTGCCAAATAGAAATGCAGGGACAGAGTTTTGGGTGCAGTAGAAAAGAGGAGCTTTTATTGCTTTGCCAGGCAAAGCGGGCCACAGTGCGCTAGTGCCCTCAAGACTGTCTGGCCCACCCTGGAGGGAGTGGTGAGGAGTTTATAGTGTTCAAGGAGCATGATCAACTCATGGACAAGTCTTGGATTGGCTGGTGTCAAGGTGGAGTTTGAAGCATCATCAACCTTCCAGTTTCAAACAGTGTAGGGTCTATGTCCTTGTGGTCAGCAGTTTTCATTTAAGCGGGAGGGGGGGGTCTGCTTCCTGTAAAACAAATGAGGAATGTGTGTCAGACCTTCATGTAGATCTTTCAGGGAGCTGGGAGTTTGGTAATTCTGCTATGGGGCAGAATTACAGTCTAAATTGTTACCAGTTGCCCAACCCAACAGCTATTCTTTGTTTCTACATTTTCACATTTCCCAATCATTAACTCCTTCCTGAGTCAGAATTTTACTTCCAAAGACAAGGATACAGGGTCTTGTAGATGGTTTCAAGTCCCACCTTTTCTTTGGTATTCCTCAATCTTGAGGAGGAACAGATGCAGAACAAGAAAGGGAAGAAAGTTCTAGATTGAGAGGTTAATCGTAAATTTGGCAGAGGAACTTGGTTTCTGTTTTGTTTCTATTTCAATTTTCCTCAGCTCTTTAGGGAATGGGATGACAACTGCTCTGGTTACGTCCTGCTGAAGTGGGGCGTAGTCCTGCCTAATTTGGGGAATGGACACAGAGTTGGAAATAATCTTGAGTTCCAAGATTAACATCAATATTTTGTATTAAGAAAATATTGTATCTCTTTGATTGCTTTGCTCTAGTACCTGGACAACCATTTGAAAATTATTAGACATACTGAAATGAAGATAATGGTTAAAACACACCTTTGTACTCTTTTTCAAAGAAGCCTTCCTGTTTTTTGATGGCAACCAGGAAATGTAAGTTTTGGAGTGTTTCCTGTTTACACATATTCAGTAACCGAGGAGTCTCTGCTGGGAGTCTGTAGGTTGAGTCATCTCATTGGCTACTGCTTTTGTTGTTCAGTTACTCAGTCCTGTCCGACTTTTTGCAACTGCATGGACTGCACATCAGGCCTCTCTGTCCATGAAGGACTATCTCCCTGAGTTTGCTCAAACTCATGTCCACTGAGTCAGTGATGCCATTCAACTATCTTGTCTTCTGTCGCCCTCTTCTCCTCCTGCCCTCAATCTTCGCAAGCATCAGGGTCTTTTCCAATGAGTCACCTCTTTGCATCAGGTCACCAAAGTATCGGAGCTTCAGCTTCAGCATCAGTCCTTCCAATGATTATTCAGGGTTGATTTCCTTTAGGGTTGACAGGTTTGATCTCTTTGCTGTCCAAAGGACTCTCAAGAGTCTTCTCCAGCACCACAGTTCAAAAACTATTGTTTTTACAGTAGGATAAAGATTTCATAGACCATAAGGTTGAAATTGGCAGCTGCTAGTAGATACTGTTTTAAAAATGGCTGATGGTGTCCTCAAGTCTGATAAAGTTTAGAGAACTCAAGTTTTCAGTAATATAGAAATATGTCTGAACCCATATCCACACTGACAATCTAGTTCCGATTTGGATGTCTGAACCACAGTCATTCCATTCTGATTTTTTAATGTAATTTTTAATGGCTAAAGCAGATGTAAATGCATGTTTAATAGGCCACAAACAGGATGTTTTGGTTAGCCTAAAGTTCAAAACAATCATGTATAAGCCAGAATGATTTCCCATATTTCAATATGCAAAAATTTCTTCCATCATTTTCCCCTTTTGATTGCAAATCTTTCCATAAATGGCATTGGCCATCAATATATTTTTCCAATGTTGCCAGAGTGACTCGGTTACCTGCTCTGGGTCCATTTATTTCCCTCAGTGCTAGACCTCTTTGTTTACATATTTGCCTAGTTGTCCATGTTGGGGGGAAAACTAATCAGATGTCATGAACCGGCTCAGAGATATGTGAATGGGGAAATGCTTTGTAGGCTATACATTTTACCATTTATCCCCAATTGTCACACAAGCATTGTACACGTGCTTTAAGCAGTGCACTTAAAATAAGCAGTGATACGTGTCATGAATAGTTATATTCCGTGACAGCTTCACTAGAGAATTTTCTTTTTTAATCCTGAATATTGGGGTCAAAAGCATGGTTAAAAGTAAAACAATAACTTTCCATCTTGATAGGAAGACAAACATTTGGTAGACAGTGCAGTTGCATTAGTTGGATGGTTCTTACAGGCCTGGTCCAGATTTTAAAATCAGCTGTCTTCCACTGTTGTTGTCTTCTTCTCTTCTTAATATGGGTGTTATTTGGGGTCAACAGTCTTTTCTATAGACAGTCCAATGCACAGGCCTTTCTCAAGTGGGAAATATGAATTCAAGAGTCAGTTCCCTTCAGTATTGTTGCACAGGTACTGGTTAAGAGTACCTGATATGGGTTCTTTTATTTAGTTTGAAGACAGTCCTTTAAAGGATGCCTTTTCCAGCATCCATAATCTCTTAGTTGTAACTCACAGGGCATCTGATCTTTATCCGAAGGTAGATTATTGTGATTGGCTTCAGAAACAGGCTTAGAATATTCTTCTACTAATTTAATTAAATTTTATAATAGCCTAACAGGGCAACAAGGAGTCGTCTTGGACATAGCAAAACCTCAATAAATACAAAACTTCAATATCCACAAAGGTATACTATTGAAACAAAGTTTTTCTCTCTAGATTATCCTCATTTTTATTAAATTCAGCCAAATCAAGGCTGATTTGTTCCAAATAGGTCTGGTTTCAATAAACATGGCCTGCTTATTCATATAAATGTAATTGCTCATATAGGCTCTTTTAGGCCTTCAGATTTTACCTGTGCTTCTCCGGTGGCTCAGATGGTAAAGAATCTGCCTGCAATGCAGGAGAATTGGGTTTGATCCCTGGGTCGGGAAGATCCCCTGGAGAAGGGAACGGCTATCCACTCCAGTGTTCTTGCCTGGAGAATTTCATGGACAGAGGAACCTGAAGGGCTATAGTCCATGGGGTTGCAAAGAGTCAGACACAACTGAGCGACTAACACACACATCTCTTTTTTTTGTACCCAGAATATCTGACTCATTGGAAAAGACCCTGATGCTGGGAAAGATTGAGGGCAGGAGGAGTGGGGACGACAGAGGATGAGATGGTTGGATGGCATCACTGACACAATGGACATGGGTTTGGGTGGACTCCGGGAGTTGATGAAGGACAGAGGGCCTGGCGTGCTGCAGTTCATGGGGTCGCAAAGAGTCAGACACGACTGAGTGACTGAACTGAACTGGACTAAATATCTAGATTCTTGTATATTTCAAGAGACAGTCTTTTCCATTCACTTGATAAAGTTGTTTAGACCTCAAGGGTCTCCAGTTTTTGAAGAAATCAGGCAGAGAGAAAAGAAAAATATTTTAATTTTATCCACAGGTGTTATACCAAATTGTTATAAATCAAAAGTTGCTTGAGGAAAAGGGCTTTTCTATATCTGAAAAACAATGATTAGAAGCCATTAGTATGTCAGACAAGTCATAAAAATTATAATCATATTTAGCTGTTCATTGAATCCCATATAATTAATCTTTGTTCTGTTTGAGTTCAGATTTTCTCTAGTGTCATTGACCATGCCTAATGATTGAAGATCATAGTGACAGGGATAATTTCAAGAAGTTTGTGAATTTTTTCTTAAGGTTTCTATGATTTGTCCAGTTAAGTGGGTGTCTTGATCACTGGAGATTGTAGAAATTATATTCCAGGTGGGAAACATATTTTCTAACCTTTTCTTTTTCATTGTGAGAACATGAGCCCTGAAACCAGGGAAAGCTTTAACCTTTCAAACAGAAAATAAGGTTTGTCAGGGAGCTGAGAAAAAGCCAAGCAGCCATCTTGGAGTTCCCATACCCTTGATTTTTAAAAAATTTATAGTTATGGTTTATTCATTTTAAATTCCCTGATTTAGGAGCAGACTGTTGTCGTGTTTTAAGAATATCAGGATAGCAAAAGTCTGACAACAAGGGGTTAATTTTTTATAGGCACAGAATG